ATTGGAGCAGATGTTAAAACCTCTTTTAAGTTGTTAAATGCATCCTCGCATTCTTTTGTCCACAAGAACTTCTGGTTGCTCTCTGTCAGCTTGTGTAGGGGTCTTGCGATGGAAGAAATGTCCTTCACGAATTTCCTATAGTAGGTGCAAAGCCCTAGGAAGCTTCTCAGCTGATGGACATTTTCGGGACGTTTCCAGGATTTCGGCTGATACCTTTTCAGGATCCGTGCGCTCACCTTCTGCAGAGATGACATGTCCCAGGTAAGTCACTTCCTTTCGGAACAATTTGCATTTAGCGGGACTCAGCTTCAGATTGGCTTCTTTCAGTTTCTGAAGCCCCTTCCTAAGATTTTCTAAATGTTCTTCAAAACTCTTTCCGACGATGATGATGTCGTCCAGGTATATGAGGTAGGCTTCGTAGGAAAGGCCTTTCAAAACAGTTTCCATAAGACGTTCGAATGTTGCCGGCGCATTACACAGTCCAAACGGCATCACCTTGAATTGCCAAAGCCCTTGTCCCGTAGTAAATGCCGTCTTTTCTCGGTCTTCAGGCTGTATTTCTACCTGCCAATACCCACTCTTTAAATCAAGTGTTGAGAACCACTTGCTTCCAGAAAGAGTGTCTAGAATGTCGTCAATTCTAGGAAGAGGGTAACTGTCTTTCTTCGTAACCTCATTCAACCGGGGATAGTCGACGCAAAATCTTGTTGAGCCGTCTTTCTCTCTGACTAGGACGATGGGAGATGCCGATGGACTTACTGAAGGCTCGATGACATCGCCTTCTTCCATATCTTTTAACAGTGTTCGCACCTCTTCCTGTTTAGTAAACGGTAGACGTCTTGGATGTTGCTTGATCGGGGGATGATCACCGGTATCTATTCTATGTTGTATCAAACTAGTTCGACCCACGTCAGAATACGAGCGGGAGAAAACAACTTGAAGATCTTTAACGACGCGATCGGCAGCATTCTTCTCTTCATCGTTTAATTGCGCATTCTGAAGTAACTCTGATGTAATGCTTTCTGAAGACACGGATTCTTGGATGTTACTCTTTCTTTCAACGGTGGTTACTGGAGTACATGTTGCAACCACTTCACCTTTCTTAATAACTCTCGCCTTCTCAGTTACAATGGCGACTCTCACCGGGATAACCGTTCTGGATAGGTCGACGAGTGTTGAGGCTACTAGTACTCCTTTTGGGCTATTACAGTTATTGGGATATTCTATGATGCCGTAGCGGAAATTTCTGTTTTCGGCTATCGATCCAGGAAGTAAAATTTCTGTTCTTGCCGGTATTGTGATATTGTCTTGTGCTATGATTTATGGACAGATTTAACTTCATCATTGACTCCAAATAACGCTATGTCCTCAGATGTAGAATGCAATTCGTTATTTTTAAAGTCCAAGGAAAAATTGTATTTCCTTAGAAAGGCCAATCCGAGTATGCAAGAATATGATCTCTGCTACATATGCCGTGTGATGGTAAGCGGCACTTCCAAACGTGATGTTAGCAGTTACTTTTCCATCGATGTTGATCTGCTCACCGGACACAGTCTGTAGGGTAACGCAGGGCGGCGTCCAGATAAGTTTGCTTCCCAGTTGTTGAGCCAAATCTTTTCGGATGATGGTAACGTTGGCTCCTGTATCTATCGTCATATTGCAGGGAACTCCATTAATATGTCCTATTATGAAAAGTCCATTACTGCCGCCTCTCACTGCAGAAATCTGAAGCGCTTTAAACTGGGGCTTTTCATGATCTGGCAACCTCAGCCCCGCGAGATGGCCACTAATTAGTCTTTGCTGTTTGTTAGGAGCGGTCTTAGCATCCGTGCCCTGGGGTGTTCTGCAGTTTCGTCGTATGTGTCTTTCAGCACCGCAGTTCCAGCACTTTACGGTCGGTTTCTTGTCACCAATATTCTGTCTCAAGGCGTTCAGTTGTCTAGTCAAATCGTCTAGACGAGCAGTGACTTGATCCCCTGGCTCCTGGACTTGAGCAGCTCTGACTGGATGGCGGTCTCGACGGGTGGCTTGCTGGGCTGCCTCAAATTTCATGGCATACACTAAAGCGCTTTTCAGATCTTTAACATACGCCATTCGCAGTGCTTTCTGTATTTCAGGGTCCCGGATGCCATCGATGAAATATTGCAGGGACAAGATTTCCCTTGTTTCTGTCGGGCACTCCGAAAAGGCGTGATGTGACAGCCTTTCAACATCCGTGGCGAGCTCCTGAAGCGTTTCGGTGAGCTTCTGTTGACGAGATTTTTAATTGGAGCCTGTTGTAGTCTTTTAAACATTTCTCGCCGAAGCGCAGCTCCAAAGCGCCGGATAGAGCTTCGAAATCTAGCCTTTGATTTTCGGGAAGCGTCTGCAGGATATCCGCTGCGTCTGCTCTCAGAGAAGCGGCGAGATGACAGGCCTTAGCTTGGGAATCCCATCCATTCGCATCCGCAACGATAGAAAATTGTGTCCTATACACCTGCCAGGAGGTCTTCCCATCATATGTAGATAGTTTCAGAACGGAACGAGCAAGCATCGATAAAAATTTGAAACCTTCAGATTTGTTTCCTACCGTCGCTATGCACTTCTTTAGGCTGTCAACTTCTTTGGCGATGGCAGCAGAAACCCTATCATCAATTTGTTGTTCGACGGCAGAAACTCTTTCTTCAATTTGTTGTTGGAAGGCCGAAACTCTTCCTTCGACTCGTTGCTCCACAGCCGACACTCTATCTTCTATTCCATCTTTGACAGAAGAAACCTTTTCTTCAATGTGCCCGACTTTATTTTCGACAGCTCCTATTCTGTCTTCCATAGCCTCAAATTTACTTTCTATTACGCAGGTTATTTCTCTTTTCATTTCGTCTTGACCTGCTTCAATCTTTTCTTGTACAGCTTTTATATCTTCTTTAAAAGTTACTTGACCAGCTTCCAACTTTTCGTGAACGGCTTCCAGTTCCTTTTTAACGGATCTCATCTCTCCTTTAACGGAATCTTGGCCCAATTTCATTTCTTCCTTAACGGATTCCTGGCCCAATTTCATTTCTTCCTTAACGGAGTTGACGGCCCCTTCCATCTTTTCTTGGAAAGTAGCAAATGCAGTCATCATTTGCCTGAATTGTTCTTCCATCGCTCTTGTTATTGGCATTCAAATCCCACTTCTGACACCAAAAATTGTTGCGTGCGTACGGGTTCGTTATGAAATGAATGCACAAGTCCGATGAAAATTGAACAAAAATTTATTATAATCTAAACAAAAATGCTTAAATTTTCTCAAATTATCATGCAGTATTACAATATCTCACAGTAGTTATCTTTTAACTACTCAAATGTCCAATAGAACGTAATTCAAAACAGCTAAAGAACGCTAATCCGCGAATTCGCTACAATCAACAACAGTAGTTTTCTAAACAACAACAAACTAAGCAACTACTACAAACTGAGATGTTTTCCTCCTTTTATAAGATTTTAAAATCACGCGCTAGAATTTTCCAGCACTTTCTCGAAATCAAAAAGAGATATTTATTTATTTAACGCACGCGCTGCACTGCGCGAGAAATAAAACCATTTAATTTATAATTGAACTAACATAAGCTTTTTAAATACCAAATTCGTAACAGTACATTAGTTATTGCTGAAAAATTGTTGCTTATCTCTTAGAACAATAATTATACCCACGAGTAGCTGAATGGTTAAGGTTACTGAATGCTAAGAGTACATTTTCTGTTCTTTTTCTGAACATGCTGTCTGCATGGTTTTTTTTTTTTTTTTTTTTTTTTAATTTTAGTTTTTTTTTTTTTACGTATAATGTGAATACAAGCCAGTTCTCATTAGAAAGTCCTTCACCATGAGGAGATAGCACTTTTGAGCTTTGTGATAGTCAACTAAACCAAACTGTTATGAATATTAGATAATAAGCTTAACATTGGTGAAGATCTTTCTCGTAAGATTTGACATGGAATATCTCTTGGTCTGCTAAATCAAATTTACTTTTGTGTGACCTTAATTCAGAGGCAACCAATCGTGAATCTGTTTTGGCGTGTTTTAAGAATTATAAATGAAAAATTTATTGCTACTGTGGAAGAATGCTCAACTAATGTTTACCTTACTAATCAATTCTTATAGTATTGTAATGGTTTGCTCTGTTGCAAATTTCGCTAACAAACTTCAGTAGATTCTTTATGGTTTTGTTTTCCCTTCAGTATATCTAAATCATAGGAAATAAAGTATTATCTTATATTAAAATATATTTTTTTTTTTTAGGATATTGCCATATAAGTAACATTCCACAGAACAGTGAGATTTTTTATGGGGTGGGGTAGTTAGCCCCACACCCAACCCCCAACCTGGAGGACCAGTTCCCTGATATAATCCCCAGGGGCAGGGTGCCCGGCTATACCCCCAGACGCTGGGTACCCATTTTAGTCGCCTTTTACGACATGTATGAGCTACATTGGGACTATTCTTTCACACCCGGTCACCACACGGGTATATTAGTAGATTGATTTGTGCTTATTCACTGTGAATAATGTGAAGAGCAAATATTACTTGAGCTGAACATGTAGTACTATCCAGAAAGAGTCCATACAATTATTGCATAAATAGAAATATTAGAGTTAGATTGTGCAGAAAGAAGACATTATGGAATTTGTCTTTTTTCTACACTACTACACTATGCCATGTAATATGTTCTTTCTACACTACTACACTATGACTACACTATGAACACATGTAAATTGAACAAGAGAATACAAAAAATCTTAAAATAAATAAAGAAATGAAACAAATTTTAAAGAAATACAAATTGAAAATACAAAATAGAAAACTTTTGAGAAACTTGAGAAAGTTAATGAGATATAAAAAATTTTAAAATTTAAAATTCTTCAGTTACACAAAACTTAGTTAAAATTTAAATTAAGCAAGATATATTCTACAAGTTCCAGAAAATTTGATATTTGCATTTAATTTATAATAATCTTTTAATCCAGTTACAGCAACAACACTTTCTTTAAAACTGCATGACAACAGTAACCACCCAAATAAGTCAGAACTGGCAGATGGCTACTAATGCCCTTCACATCACTCTCCGTAATATTTAATGATGGGTAATATACTGTATTATCTAATTCTATAATATCATGAAGATTATCATCATATTCAAATGATGTTAAAGGGACAGTAGTATTTTTAATAATCAATTCTAACTTAATACTTGATTGTATTCTTAATTTTTTTTTCACATTCTAATAACTGTCTCATTGAAATATGATACTGAGAACCAGAAAGTTGTCTGTATTTACCAAACCGGGCTTCAAGAGCATCAGTCTGAATTTTTCCTGGAAGTATATATTTCATTCCAAGCTCTTCAACACAATATCTAGTCAACTCCAGTATACCATAAGTAGTTTGTTTGAGAGCTGCATGAGTTTCTTTTGTAAGCATGCCTGTTGAACATTTCATTGATTCCCATGCATCTAACCAGTTAAGAAACTGATTGAGGAAAATAACTTTTGGATCAGAATCATCTGCTGTTAATGGCTTCATAAATTCACTCTTTTGATGTATACCTTTAAACATAGTTTTAACATTCATAATATCCCACCATTTGCATATTATGGATATAAACTCAGATGTATCTGAATAGTGTGGTATTTCATGCAAAGGACCCAAATGAATCAGACCTTCAATAGTAAATTTATTGAAAATCTTAAGAACCAGTTTAATGTTTTGTTTCTCTAAATTAGAAGGTGAAAGACTTTTTAGAGTTAAACCATTAGAAAATGTAATCAGTTGGTCATTTTCAATTTCATGTAGCTTTCTCAAAGACATAAACGAAGCAGTTTTGAAGTGCTTCTTTGAAAGATCTTCAATATTTGGAAAAAACATACATGTACCAGGATTTTTCTGGTTCAGCCAATTGTTCCTTATATTTTTAAATAAATGAACTGCATCTATTATGTAGAAAAGAGGCCTATTCCCATTCATTGGATGTTTGTAAACAAATGAATTACGTGGTGGATTTGAAAACAAACTCATGGCTTTTCTATTTATTGCATTGTTGTCTGTAATAACACAAATAACAATAATTCCCATATTTTCAAGACCTCTAATCACTTTTTTAATTACATAATGTAATGTTTCAAAATTTATTGTGTTAACAGGCATAATATGTACTACCTCTTTGAATGAAGATTCCAAACTGGATATCATAAAAGCAAATGCACTGGTTGCCGGACTGGAAGAATCAAATGCAGCCCCAACGACAGAGCCTCCTTTGTAATCAAAATATGGCTGAACATAAATTTCATCTACCAAAAGAATCACTTTTCTTTCTCGATCCTCAAGGAAAGTTACACGATTTTTTATATATATTTATAAAAATTTTCATCAATAGTTTCATTACATGGTGACAATACTAAATTGCTACAAATTTTTTTTAAAGTCGAAGGATGAGGCATAATAATACTGCCACTATCCCTTAAAAATTTATATGCATGTGGTGATATAGTATTTAACAAGCATGCTAACACTAGTACATCAGGATTGTATCTAAAATTATTTTTAGGGCAAAGTAAAAGATTCATCTGGTCTTGCAAAAATTTAATAATGCTCTCATTTTTGTCGTTAGAGATAGTTTGCAGTAATTCATTAATTATATCAATTGTTATGGTTAATTTTGAATTTAACTCTTTGGTTTGAAGATTAGCCAATTTATCTAAAACAGTCCTAATTTCATTAAAATTTGTAACTTTATGTGGGAATGTGTAAGGAGATAATTGCATAATAGATTTTTCTTTAATAAATACAGACATTTCTTGATTGTCATTCACAACTACAGAATAATCAATTGATGGCCCAGGACTAAAAACAATATGAATAAAGCAAACAGTTGAGGTATCTGGAACTGTGTATACATGCCAAAATGCTGATATTCCATAGCGATCAATACATGACAAAATATCATTAGAACAATTAATTTTCAAATCATTATTATACATTTCATATTCTTTAAGGCTTTCACGCAATGCTTTCTGTAAATTATGGCACTCGCGGGCAGTTTTTTTTTGCATCAGGATCTTCTCGTACAATGGTGCTACTTTTTGAACTGTATACAGATGGATAGTCCTTAAATATTGATGGCACTGTATTTTCTTTTAATCTACGCACCTGAAGTGGAGCAGAAATTAAAATTCCATTCTTAGAATCAAATGCTGAAGCTTCAACTTTAAAATCACTTTCCTTGAAATGCAATTCACAAACCTTTAGAGAAAAAAATTAAAAAAAAAAAAAAAAAAAAACATTATGTTAATAGTAATAGTTTAAAAATCAGAGGGTTCATTCTGAGCATTTGTAGTAAAGAATATTCATTTCACAGATAGAACCAGAGAATATTTGCAGTGATTAAAGCTCTATTTCAATCCTTTATTTCTGTATATCCTGGTTTATGTAACAAAATATTATCATTTAAAAATTTCTGAATGAACCCTTATATGTAATTAGAATCTACACTATTAATTAATAACTCTACTTTACTTACCTTTGAACTCTTTTTGGGTGAAAAGTCTTTCCGTTGGATTGCAGAAAGCCACTCTCTCTTCAAATCTTCATTTTTAGGAAAGGAGAATACAGACACTTTTGGTCCTGTTGGGTAGTTTCCCTTACATAATGGTACACAGCATCTACCCGGCATTTTAATAACTGAAATGTTTTTATTTAAATTAATATATAAAAGGGAGTAAATAGTTATGTATAAAATATAAATTAATTATTTTTAAATATAAAAGGGAGTAAATAGTTATAGTGTATAGCTAATGGCATGTAAAATTTTAAGAATAAGCTGTGTTAGCTTATATTATAACATCAAATTTATACAGGTCCATAAAAAAATGTTTTATTCTGAAACAGATCAGGTAATATAATTATGCAAAGCCCGTTTATTCTACGATGGGCTGACACAACATTATTCAAAAAGAAATTATACATAGCACAGCAGCCTTGTCTCTACCAGAAATAACACATGTATACTAGAACATACGCCTAAAAACGTTGATATAATTAGAAAAATATAACTTTACAGAAGTAAAGTAATGTATTCTTACCTCTCTAAAATACATCCAACCTTAAAACCATAAAAAAATCAAAGTATTCTGCTTCAGCGTTCGCACAACGTAAGAAGCTTCAGCAATCAGCAAAGAGCCACTGCATGCGTTCCGAAGTTTATTATGACCAGAAGTCGTGACGTCACACGAATTTTCGAACCGCGCGCTTAGGCTTGAAGTAGAGTCGGGTGGAAGTTCTTGGTATTAAATTTCCCTGATAAGTTTACTTTTATTTTCCCAATCATTTGTTGTATTTATATTGTGGTATGCTCAGGATATTACAGTACACAAACATCGTATTCACTTCTCTCTATTCTACAGTTATGTTAAGATAATAATAGATACAGTTACAGTTACATATATAACATCTCCCTTTTTTATAAAAAATAATAATAGTAGTAAAATTAAACATATTCTTTTAAATAATAAGGTTTCTTAACAGTCCTACCAGATCGAGTGACGTAGTTATGTCCATTTGAAAAATTTGATGATACTATACCTTCTTTGCTATTTGGTGACACAACACTTCTGTTAGATTTTGAAGGACTTACAGGCACATCTAAATTTGAAGTGCTCCTACTATTTTCATGTATCTCGGGTTTCATCTATAACTTCATTCTCATAGTTGTTTTGTATTGCAAACTCTTCCTGATTAGTTCCTTTAAGAAGGTCTCTTCTGTTCCTTTCTACAATTCTTCCATCTGTTCTTATAATCCTATATGAACGTGGTCTTTCTGCTTCTTCTATATTTTCATTTTCCCTCTTTCATTTAGTTTTTTCCCTTTCTCTTTTATGTAAACATGATCTCCTGTTTTCAGTCGTTTTAATGGTCTTGCATTCCTATCATAATAACTTTTTTGTAAGATTTGTCTCTTCAGTAAATGTTGTTTATGGTCTTCATATCGTTTAGCTTGGACAAAATTCTCTTTTATAGGCATCAATCCATTTACTTTTCTTCCAAACATCAATTCTGAAGGTGACTTAATTTCATCTGAAATAGGAGAGTTACGATATTCCAGTAATACCAGTAATATTCCAGTAAATATGGATCCTTGTTGTCAACTACAGCTTTTTCTAACATTCGCTTGACAGTTTGAATATGTCTTTCAACCATTCCATTAGACTGTGGGTATTTTGGACTTGAAGTTCTGGTTTCAAAATTCCATCTTCTTGCAAAATCTTTATATTTCCTGCAATTATATTGTGGACCATTATCCGAATATACTATTTTCGGAATACCATGTCTTGCAAAAATTGATTTCAATTGCTTTATCACTGCTACACTTGACAAATCTTCCAAATGTCCAATTTCAACATATTTGCTAAAATAATCTATAACTATTAGATAATCCCTTCCTTGAAAGTAAAAGAGGTCTGTTCCCAATACTTCCCATGGACCATTAGGTATTTCTTTAGATATCATTGGTTCTTTAGTATTAGCTTTTTGTAAACTTAAACATGTTTGACAATTCAGTACCAAATCTTCAATTTCTTTGGACATTCCTGGCCAATATAATATTTCTCTTGCTTTGATCTTGCATTTTACTACTCCTAAATGACCATAATGAATTCTGCTTAACATATCTTTTCGTAAACTTCTTGGTACAACAACACAGGAACTTTTAAATATTAATCCATTTGCTTATGATAGTTCTTCTCTGAAGTTAAAATATGGTTTTTGCCAGTTCTGGAATCATACATTTTTCATTTGGCCATCCAGCTTTAATTAATTTTCTTAAAACTTGTAGTTCTTCATCTTTTTCTGTTTCCAGTTGAAAAACTTCCATTTTACCATTAGACATTGGTATACATTCTACAACTAATCCAACATGAGCTTCTATTTCTCCTTCAAAGAAATCAGATCCTTTATCAGTGAATGATCTTGATAATGCATCCGCTATAAAAAGTTCTTTTCCTGGTTTATATTTTATCTCAAACTGATATGGCTGTAATCTTATACGCATTCTTTGTAGTCTTACAGGGCATTTATTTAATGGCTTTTTAAAAATTGATTCCAGTGGTTTATGATCACTTTCCACAGTAATATTTTTTCCAAATATATACTGGTGAAATTTCTCACACGCAAATACAATAGCTAAAGTTTCCTTTTCAATTTGAGCATAATTCTTCTGTGTATCTGTTAATGCCTTAGATGCATATGCCACTGGTAAATTATTCTGCAGTAAGACTGCTCCTAGTCCTTCTTGAGATGCATCTACAGATAAAACTACTGGCATGTTTATATCATAATACTGTAAAACTGGTTTATTTACCAAGACATCTTTTAGTCTTCTAAATGCTTTTTCATGTGTTGCATTCCAGTTCCAGATAACTTGTTTTTTCAACAAATCTCTTAAACATGATGTCAATTCTGATACATTAGGTATAAATCTAGAAACATATGTAATCATTCCTAGGAAAGTTTCTAATTCTTTCACATTTTTTGGTGGTTTTATATCTAGAATAGCCTTAATTTTGCCTTCATCTGGTTTTTAAACCATCTTTAGAAAATATATGTCCCATATATTTCACTTCATTCAGCCCAAATTTACATTTATTTAAATTAAATTTAACATTCTTTTCTCTGGCTCTGTCCAACAACTTCTTTAATCTTGAATCATGTTCTTTTTTATCTTTACCCCAAACTAATAAGTCATCTATATATATTTGAACTCCTTCTAAATCACTAAAAATTTCAGAAAAACTTCTGTGGAAAACTTCTGGTGATGAACTCAGTCCATATGGCAACCTCAAAAAAACAATATCTACCAAACGGAGTGTTAAATGTAGTAAATTCACAACTTGAATCTGACAGTTTAATTTGCCAAAATGCTTTGTTTGCATCTAAAATACTAAAGACCTTTGCATTTGTCATTTGAGATGAAATTTCTTCAAAGGTTGGTATGTGATAATGTTCTCTCAGTATATTTTGGTTAAGGTGCTGAGGATCTAAACACACTCTTAAATTTCCATCCTTTTTCCTTACTACCACTAATGAATTCACGAATTCTGTTGGTTGGTTAACTTTCTTTATAATACCATCTTTTTCCATTCTTGCTAATTCCTTTTTTAATGGATTTAATAAGCTAAGTGGAATTTTCCTACAGGGTTCTATTTTACCAACAGCTCCTGGTTTTAATTTAATATGATATGTATATCCAGTTAAATTCCCAGTTCCTTTAAACAAATCTTGATATCCTTTTAAAAGTTCTGGTAACTTTTCATTAGAATCAGGATTTACTGTACAAATCCTTTGTATTAGGTTTAATTTTTGCAATGTAGGTAAACCTAAAATAGCTGAACATTTTTATCACATGCTACGACTTGAAATTCTACTTCATCCTTGTCCCCTTTTGATGTTTCACATAATAATTTACATTTTCCAACTACATCAATTGTAGTACCATTGTAATTATTTAAAGTGACTTTTGATTTAGTCAAACATTTCTCTCTTAAATTTAATTGTTTAAATTTAGGCAATGGTAGCACATTACACTGAGCTCCAGTATCCAACTTAACAAATAAATATTTAGATATGTTTACTTTTAGTTTTTCAAACCATTCGGTTTTATTTTTAGAAAATGGATTTATATCTTCTACTGACCCTAAAATATATTCATTACCATTATTATGTAACTCATGCTCTAAATTATTCTGTACAACATTAACATTTTTAAAAGTGCACATTTTAGAAAAGTGATTTTTCTTTTTACAGTACAAGCAAATCTTATTATAAGCAGGACAGTTGTATAACTTATGAAAAGTTCCACATTTTCTACATGGTTTTGGATTATTGTACTTATTTCCTTGATAGTTTGAAGAAGATTTAGTACTTTGTTTTACATGATAGTCTTTCTTACAAGGCTGACTTTTTTCCTCTGAAGGTCGAAATTTATTACGTTTGATAGCTTCTATTTTATTTTCTTCAGTTAAAGTTTTCAGCTGAAGTTCTGCTAATTCAGAAGCTTTACACATTTTAATACATTTCTCCAATGTTAACTGATCTTCCCTTAATAATCTATCTTTGAGATTTTTATTTAGAATTCCACTTACTATTCTATCCCTTATTAAACTATCTTTTAATTCTGCAAATCCACAGTTGCTACTTAATTTCTTTAAATCGGTTAAGAAATCATCAAACGATTCACCTACATGTTGTGTTCGACAGAAAAATATATGTCTATCAACACTTTCGTTTGCTTTCGGTATGCAAAAATTTTCGAAAGCTTCAATTACTTTGTCAACATCCTTCTTATCTTCTTCACTTAAATTAAAAGTATTAAATTTTTCAAGTGCTTCTTCACCAATTATATGCAATAAAATAGCTACTTTAATTTCAGGTGATTTAGTAATACCACCAGACGCTAACATATAAATTTGGAATTTTTGTTTCCATTTCTTCCAATTTTCGCTTAAATTTCCTTCGAAACTTAGATTACTTGGTGGCTTTAATCCATCCATATTTAATTTAGGACATTAAATAGTTTATATATACGTATTTTTAGCCACTTCCAATAAAAATAAACAACTCACTTACCAGCGATATAAGTTTCGATTTCACAGTAAACAACTTCCCATGATGTTTTTGTTTAGAACATCTTTACCGAGGCTGCATGGTTCTTGAAAAAAGATTTTTTTTTTTTAATCAACACGGGCTGCGCCATGTGTTGTATTTTATATGTTGGGTACTGCTCAGTGATGATTACAAGTACACAAACATCATTTTTCTACATTACTCATCAACTATTCTATATTACAGTTAAAGATAATAATAGATCGTTACAGTTACATATATAACAGTATAGTTGCTAGTTGCATCGTTTGTGATGAATTACCAAAATAATTCATTAGTAAGATGGGGAATATTAAAAGGAGCAACAGTTTGCTTAAAAATTTACATTAAGGTTCAGAAGTGGTGTCAGTTTTTTCAAAGTGAGCCAGAGTCAGGCCGAAATGTTAATACAACATTTTGTTTATTTAACACTGTTTATATTATATTGTAGTTCATATGTTTGCGATGTGCTGTTTACCACTTTTTGAGATGAATATATTTCAAAGACTAAAATCATATTTTGATGTTCAAAGTAAAGATATGATCACATTAAAATGGAATATATAACGCATTTTATAACATATGGAATTATTTGCATGCATTTCTCCGGTCATAACTAAAGAATTATA